CCCACTGTGCTTTCTTGCCTTCATGTGGAACCTGTAGACCGTCGGACTGTTGCAATACCCTAGTCATGCTACCGGTAGTAGTGCATGTGTACCATGAACTCGACAGGCTGGCTGTAGGCTTGTTTCCTTTACAATAATACTTTCACTTTTTATCAGAATGACACCACCTAGCATCAATGAGAGCTACATGTACAAGTACATGTACATAACGAGAGTGCATACATTTACAGTACATACAGTACAAGTTGTACATACGTGCACATGTACTGTATGTACATGTGTGCAGTACTGTATACTGAGTTGCTCTGCACTGGCCAAGTCTATAAACTGTCTGGATACATGTACATCTACAGCACCAGTATCGCAGAATTTGCGAACTACATGTACATGTACAAGACGTAACTATCGCTTTCTCGACTCCAACAAAAAAAACCTGGCTAAGAGAGAAACCTGAACAAAAAGCCACCATACCAGTATACATGTAGTATACTACCAGTAGGTACACCGGTACAAGTCATGTTCTGTCCAACTGCATGCAGTTGACAGTTAATCATGATGTACATGTAAATGATACCGATAACATTAAATTATTATGTAAATTAACAATAAACTATGGCATATGAGTGTACATGTAGTATAACCATAACAGTACACGTGCAGTACAACCGTACACTATGTACATGTACATACACGCGTATGTTATTTAGAATAAAGCATTAATGTCCCACATTATACATGTAATATTGATTGTTCAAGGCAACAGATGCAAATGGTGTGCACCTGTTATTTTTTCTGTACCCGGTATTTCTAAGCATATTTTTACACGGCAATCTGTTCAACCCTAAACAGCAAACAAGATGCATAAAAGTGCCTATCATTTTTAGATTGTGCCCACTGATGCATCTGAAGGGAAACTGTGAATTGTTTCTAACCACAGGACACTTCTGAATAAAATCAAGAACAGTTTCTGCTGACCACTTCCTGATTTACCATCCAGTTATCGATTTTCATTATTTTTTCCTAAGGACATGGAGGATCGGGAACTGATAACAAGCAATCACGACAATCTGCAGTGGAATTCCATGGAATTCAGGAAGTTTTCCTGCAGGGTAAAAAAAGGGACTTACAGGTACTGGTAAAGTTTAACGATACTACATGTACTGTACATTGTAATTATGTGGCACTATATTTTTCCTGGAACCAACTGGTCACCTCACTTCCAATCAATTGCACTTTCCTGATGAATATTCCAGATGGGATTTACCGTAAATTGACCGCCATATAAACCCTTGCCTGAGGTACATGTACATGCACATACATACATATGCATGTACAACATGACATAAATTGGTTCATGTGGTTCACTGACGATCATTTTCAGTCTACACAAAGTCTATTCCTGGACACTCGACAAGCCACTCCAAATTAAATCCTACATGTACATGTATACGTACATGTACGTGTAGATTATATTGTCCAGTACATACATGTACATGTACACGTGCAGTACATGTACAGTGTACTATAACTCATATTTTGACACTTGAAGTGTGTTCAGAAAATCAGAACATAAACCTACTGTAAATGTACATTATCACGATAACAGGTGCATGTACATGTATGGCAGAAATTACCAGTACATGCTCACGTACATGAACACTGTACACAAAGCACATGCTCTGGCCGACGTGCAGAGCAGAAAGTTCACTTACATGTACATGTATTACGTATATACAAAATGCTTACTAAAAGCTGCAATGTACATGTACCGGTACATGTACATGACGTTGTATGTGCATGTAGCACAGTATCACATAGAACTACTGTACATGTACATGTACCGGTACATGTACATGTACAAGACGTTGTATGTGCATGTAGCACAGTATCACATAGAACTACTGTACATGTACATGTACCGGTACACGTGGTACATGTTATCTATAGCCAAATGCATACATACTTACAGTTTACATGAAACTGCATTTCCTCCACTGATCTGTCGCTGTTGTAATGCATTACTACATGAACCTTCCTGTTTAGTTACATGTACAGTGTTGTACACTTGATCAAAAACATGCAGCACACTAAGTATGTTTACAACATCTGACCCCCCTGAAGACATTGAAATATTTTCGAGTTTTTTCTACAAGAAGTCACAAGATTATCCTTTTAAATTAATGTTTTAAATTGAATCCTACCGTATGTTCAAATGCATGGTATTTTCCAATTTTTTTCCAAGCTTTATAGATCGAGAGGAATTTTTTTTCCAAGCAAAAAAACAAAACGAGGAAAAGTCAGAAACTGCACTACTACTGAGTTTAATCTCACAAAAATACACATTTCCTGTGACAAAGTGCGCACGCTGCAGCATGCGCACATTACGTTACTGTGCCAGTGTGCCAGTACAATAGTACAAGCATGATCTCAACGGCACAACCACTTCATGACTGATATCGGCAGGGCGCACGCCAAACACTGCTCTGTGTACCCAGTAGCTGTGAATGGATAGGACCCACAGTTGTACTGTACAAGTATTCCTACATGTACATGTAAACGTCCCACCGAATTGTAAACGTTCAAATAATAATATGCAGAGGATGAAAAGTCTGCAATTGTTTAAGATTAATCTGAGAAAATGTGTTGTAAGGGAATGGTTGAAAACAGTTTCCATCCCCAAAGTGGTTGAGCTGACACATGGAGGTCAGCCAATCATTGACAGGACACATGCGGAGAGGGTACAGGTGTTTGTACATGTATACAAAGTGTACAGTGTGATTGTCATGAGAAGAATAGGAAGGAGCTCCAATTTTTTAAACATAGTCATTCATATGGTTGTGAAACCATCATTGAAAAAATTACAGAGAGATACATGTACATGTACCGGTATGGGACGGACTCAGTGACTTTTGGGGGGTAAGGGGATATTTGACTGAGAAAATGGAGTTCCATTGGGGAAGTTTTTTATCTATCAAGGCAAGATGAAAGAATCAATGGCAGTAGAAAGTAACTTTGCCAGAAGGCACACAAGGAACCTTCTAGTCTCTAGAGGTTAATCTAGACCACGAACCTGTCAAATATCCATAGCCTACATGTATATTAGTATGACTCAACACTTTGCTGTGCACAGGAAGTTACTGTAGTTTGTCCACAATAAAGCACTAAACAATCGGCTTGAGATACATGTGCATGTACAATGTGTACACGTACATGTACGTATTATTTAAAGGTACTGCGTCTGATCAAGTAATTTAAAAACTCATTTGAGTTAACTGTAACAGCAAACTTTAGTTTTGATTGAAAAAAAAACACTTCTTACCTATAGATGACATCCAATCTAGTGATCATTTAGCAATGCACAAATTCAGACTCCAGTTTTAAAAACTAAAATGTCTACCTTTATTGAACTCAGTTAATGTATACCGGTACATGTACGGTACATATTTCCAACACAAACACAAACCGGACCAAAAAAACTGTGTCAAGTGTCTCAGGCATGGTTATTTGTGCAAACGATGCCTAAGAAGACAAATTAATATGTACATGTTCATGTACAAATAGTTTATGTACCAATATCCCAAGTACTAATTTAAAGAAGACAAAAAATCAAATGGCCATTGCAAGTGCCAGGGTTCCGGCACCTAAAGGGCAATTAAATTCAATCATGACTTTTCCATGACTTTAGTCATTTTTACAAAATTCCATGACTTTTCCAGGCCTGGAAAATGAAAACAAATTTCCGTGACTTTTTCTAGAGTTTTCCAGGCTGCGGGCCGGGAACCCTCAAGTGCTGATTCCCTGCAGTGCAGTGCTGACCATGCACAGATCCTAGTCAAATAATTGAATGACAAAATACATGCAAAATTTGCCTCTTTCAAACGGAAAGAGTTCCATAAATGGATGCCACTTGACACCCTGTGCACACGTTCTGTATGAGACTGGTCTGAAAAATCATGAAAAATTCTAAGAGTTTACAGTATGAATACCAATGTTGCTTTCTGATGGCTACTACTAGTAATAGGACACTGTATGGAAAAATTGGTGGCATCCGCATATGGAATTCTGTCCAAGTTTGTTGCATATATATGTACGTCATTTAGGCCTACACCATTCATACCGATACTTCCCATAACTTCAAGTTTGAAAGGAAGAGCTCCATATACATGTCGGCTACAGATATAAGGACAACTATTTTTCCCCTAACGTCTTCACAGCCATCAGAAGTGATAACAATTACGCCGTGGCTGTTGTTACAGCAGCCGTAATGCAGCTCCCATTTTCTATCGTTACGGCACTGCAACTGCCCAAGCGCGCCAACTTAAGTGCAGATGTCGGACTTTATTTCCCTTTAAAAAAAATCCTCCCAAGCCTCCGATGAGAAAAGAAAAAAAGATTCCTGTTTAGGCCTATACAATTAGAAATCAACATAAAAACAACAATTATGGTATAAAACATGAAAGTTAGGGGAAAAAAATTAAATAGTCCAAGCACGGATATATTCGAAAGTCACACACCAGTGGTTCTAAACCTTCCACCTTGACCCTTCGGCCACAAGCGTTCAGCAATCCAGGTAATTTTAAAATATATAAACCGTAGTGATGATCAACTACGTCATCGCACTTGCGCAGTTCAGTGCCGTAACGATAGAAAATGAGAAATGCATTACGAATGCCATAACGATAGCCACTTCGTAACAACTAACATGTCCTAAAGAGTAAAGTAAAAAGTAAAATTTAGCTACAAAAATTCCGAAGCATTTACTTTAAACTGTTCAATTTTTTCAGACAAGTCTCATCGTAGGCTTGTACACAGGGGTATCAAGCATGTTGTCAAGTGTTGTCCGTATATGGTATAGCCAGCGCAATGCGCACAAGCCGTCAGTTGTGGCCATTATCAGGTCAACACTCAAGTGAAAAAAGAGACATAACACACGTTAACAAAAGCGAACTTCTAATCAGTAAGGCCTAACATTGATCAGCTTGAAATTCTCTTCAACTTACGACATCAACCAATCCATCCCTCCCGCTAGCGATACAAGTGTCTATCTTGTACGATCCCTCGCCACCAACTGAAGAAATCACGGCATTTTCCAGCGTCTGGTCGCGTAGGCTCCACGTCCCTCCTCCAACACATCATCCCAAAATGCCGGTACTGCGTAAGTAGGAGGTCTTCTCCAGATATCGGGTCAGTAATATACACGTTTCAAGATTGGCAGGAAACCCGACTAAAACGGAGCACGAGCATATCAACTGCATGGTGGCGCTGTTCTAATTACCCGAAGAATGGGCGTGGCATACCCTGCGTAATTATCACCTGCAAGTAAATAATTAATAGATTTCGTAGAAAAGCGATTGAGGTTGTGTTAAATTTTCCTTACACACAGTTAATATTTAAAGTTAATTACTGGTGCTGATGGTAGTTGATCCTTAAACTGTATTCCTTTGGGAGAAGCATGCATGATTACATGAAATTCAAAAAATGATTAAGTTGAAGTCAAGTCGCACAGTCAAAGCATCGGTTTGTTGGCTACCTTTCCCCTTTTTGTTACAGCGAGGAGCTGTCAAGCTGCAACCACTAACCATTTCAAGGAAATTGGGCCCAATACAAACAGGAAACTTTGGTAATAGGGGATTCGATAAGGGGAAATAAAATACTTCCTACTGGAGAGTGGGGAGGGGAGACACGCACGGCTGGCTCTGCACATTCCTCAGCTACTCTTTGCTAGCAGAGCTGAGTAAAGACTACGGTAATTCGATCAGCTGCCGCTCGGACTCGTGAGACGTGTAGAGCTCATCTAAAAAAAAAAAGGCTCGGAGGGAACTTTTTTCAAATAAATGCCAAGTAGCTAGGTCTACATTTCCTCTTGTCTTCTTTTCCGCCTACTTTTGCCAATATTTTCATCATACAGAATAACAACCCCTTGAAAAGTTAATGCCTAGCATCATTTTGGTGACGTAAAATAAGTGGCTTTAAACTTGTGGAAGCGAAAGGCTTGCATGTGTTTGTGCTTTGTATTTTTTTCAAATGGAGATGGAGCAATGCACCGCGACCTATATTTGCAGTTTTAGGCTCATTTTGAAGATGATAGCCGTAATTTTAGGACGCGTATAGTCAAGACTTGAAAACTTCAGAGATGTTCCCCGATGCCCTGATTTTAAAGATTATAAAGCCGTCCTTTCCACCCTCCGAAGACAAAAGTAATTACGAAGAAGTTCGAACGCAGACATAAAATGAAATTAATATCCAAAAGACCAGTTCACAAGTCAATTTCCTGATAAAATTTGAAGCACATTTTGCTCGAAATTACCGCATTTTGGAAACGTGTTTAACTTCCATCGATTTGCAGCAGGAACAGGGCAACTTTCGGTCGTTAGAATTAAATCCGTAAAGCGTCCGCATCGCCCAACGGCGGAAGTCTGAGCCGGCTCTTAATTAATGGTGATAGCTAATAGACATATCTAACAGGACATCAAAATCTTTTCAACTATTCCCATTCCATCTCTGGAACCCTCTGCGTCTAAGGAAATAAACTCTTATTCAATGTCTGGTGACAAGATTACAACACCGAACTGACGGATTTATGATTATATTTATTATATTTCTGCAAAAATTAGAGTAACAGTCGCTTGAACTGAGAAACACCGAACTGACGGATTTATGATTATATTTATTATATTTCTGCAAAAATTAGAGTAACAGTCGCTTGAACTGAGAAAATAAGAGTGATTGAGAAAAATTCAGCCCACAAGACAGTCACAATCTTATTTTAAGGAAGTTTCTGATCTTGTCATGTGGGCAATGGTTCACTGAAAAAGTCTACAGATACAGTTTCCAGAGCAGGGATGTACCACCCCAGTGTCCTGAGAATTCAAAATTGGCAAAAAGCAGCAGTACATGTATTTGAGGGAAATTCACAATTCATCAATGCTTCCTGTAAATGTGCAAATTCTGCATAAAACAATGCATTTTTTCACATTTAAACACTACATGTATGTGCCAACCGCACATTACTAAAATAGAAATAATATCGTTTTCTGGCTGTGAATGCTAACATGTCTCTCAGGGCAATTCACTTCAATCTATACTTAAAATATTTATGGCACTATTAAAAATATTTATTAGACTTACAGTACAACACAAGACCTTGCTTCGTCTGCACTGCATGTATCATACTGAAACCAGCTGCTTTTACAAAAAGTGAAATTACAGGCCTTCTGTGATTGGACAATTTCTTCTCAATGGAAGCTCTATGTTGACGCATCATGAGTAAAGATCTACTGTGATTGGTCCATTTCCTTCAGCTGTTGTTCTGGCTGGGTTGTAAAGAAATCAAGATGTTTTCCAAACCCTTTCACGTCAAGCTATCTTCCTTCAAGGGAACCAGTACCAAATTTTTTTTGGGGGGGGCTAAATTTTTAAGGAGATGAGACCCTAAAATGAAAGGATTTCTTATAAAACCTGTATGGCCTTTCTGATGAGACAGGCTAAATATCTAGGGCTTTTTACCCAACTTGAAAGATAGAGAACTGAAAATAAATGTAATACCCCAACAGTTGTCTTCTCTGATGACATTTAACAAAAAATTTGACTCTGAGTCCCCCCCCCATCCACCAATTCCTTGCATCTGATTGGTTCATTCACCCCTTCCGAGTTCATCCTCCTGCTTGTTAATGAGCATCAACTCCTCAAACAGCTCGTACGAGTCTTCCAGTTCATTGGTCTCTCCCAATTTGAGGAGTTTCCCACTGTAAGCTTTCTTGTTGCGCAACTTGGATGGGGGTGACATGGTCCGAGTCTCTTTGTTGAAGTACAGCGGCATGATGCCCAGGTCACCGTCAAATCTATTCTTGACAATCTGTGAAGACGACAAAGAATTGAAAAATTTCTAACATGTTCTAAACTCATCAGTTCTTCTTTGAAGGACTACACCTCAGAATAAGTCTCCACAAAATTAAGTCAACATTTATTTCTCAGTGACCATTTGAAAATGAAAAAAAAAGATGACAGAGGAAAAACCGGAGAGAGTAGTCATCTCAGATGAAAACAAACTTTAATAGAATTGTTATAACTTACAGTCTGACCTCCTCAATGAATGACCCAGATGTCTTCTTTTTCCTTTTTAACCCTATCAGTCCTGAACCCTCCAATTTTAATATAATTTCGCACATATCCTAGGTAGTTAGGGTTAAAGACATTTTATACTTCCACACTTTAGAAACTTTAGTATCTTGTACACCAAAACCAAGAAAGGCCGATTGCAGTCAGCTAATCAGATGTGAACTGTACTGCCAGATCTTTACTCTATCTTATCATGTCCGAAACAAAAACTGAGCACTTATCAAACGTTACGCGGCAATGATGTAATTCATGCCCAATGAGCACACACGAAGAAATTACTGCCCGTCATAGTAGCAGTCAACAATTCTGACAGACATAATTGTTGACTGCTACTATGACGGGCAGTAATTTCTTTTCACCCTCTGAACAGCTTGTAAGATATTGGCAGAAATTTCGAGTCTCACAGAAATGCCAAGATACATGGGCCAACTTTCACCATATGATAAACACCTAAAATCCAGATTCTAACAAGTCATTTCAACAATACTTATACAACACTGTGTTTCTCAACTTCGAACGGCAACACTCAAGGGCACTGCCACTGGATAATATGTGCTACAACGGGCCAAGTACAGCAGTCAGATTCAAGATCAACACACAACCTGCCTTCACAGATTGCTCAGACTTTATGTGCGTGCTCAAAAAAATGTGGAGATGGGCAGGTATGCACATCTGCCTGCAGTGACTCTGGGCATGATTCATTGAGTCACATGTCTTCAAAAACAGACTCCCCGCTTTGCTGACGGGATAATCTAAGCTGAGGGCCAGATATCTGCTTAATGCAGATTCCTGTGAAACTATCCACTTGCCGTGCCAACACTAAACTGTTTATTCCTCTACCAGCCTGGGACTGGCCCCGACACGACCCAGAATATGGTGCACATCAAGCCCGACGCTGGGTTTGGCCAGGAGATTGGCAGGCTGGAGATAACTGGAGAGGGAGAACAGGGCACAAGTGGGTCAAACTTCTCTGGATTATGAGTTTCAAACCTCATGTGAAACTCAGAAGTCTTTCAATCTACATGTAATTGGTCCTTTTTTCTCCATCTTGGCTTTATTACTTTCTTTGGTTTCAAGCTCCACTGCCAGTTTTGAAATGTTACCAAACAGGATCCAAATGATATTTCTTTCACACCACAGTTTTGACATCAGACACAAGGATATTTCAGCCTATGGGTCTCGATTCAAGAGACTGCATAATTTCTTAACACTCAAACCCGAAGCTCCAAACTCAGATAGTGCCAAGATATCAAAAATCCCAACAACTGCCTGGGGCCAGCAATGAAAACAAGACTGGAGACTAGGCCAAGATACCAGAAATGACACACATGGACAGTACATAACTAGCAATATGCAAGCCATATCCAAATTATTTGGCTTGGGCGGGATATTACATATGCACCTATAAGAAATGCATAAAAGCCACTAGCTTGGAGCTTCCATAGCCGGCCGTGTGTACTACAATCAGCCACAGCAAATCATTTGTCATGTACAAGTACTGGCACCTTTCATTTGCCCTTTGAGGGGGATTATTACCACAGTTGTAGATGAGTGCTTCACAAGTACTTGCAACTGCTTGAGAAGTATTCAGAGGTGAGTTCTAAGAGTTTCTCAGAAGTTTCAGGAACCCTTGGCTTGTGGAAGAAATGTAACAATATACAAAAAATGAATGTTTATGAGTGCTACGGTAACAATAGTTGCACAAAGTAACAGATGAAACAGTCTATTCCACAAGGCAAAGCCGAGTGGAATAGACCACTTCATCTGTCACCGAATGCAATTATTCTTACTTTGATCGCACAAATATGAAACATTCCTTATTTGTTTCATACAACACCTGTATAAATCCTCGTCATCTGATTGGTTTACTTGTAGCATATTTCATTTGTCTCTTAGCCCTGGCAGCATCAGGTGCATTGACAAGCTCGTCAATTCCTCCATCAATTAAAATTGCGAACGTCGGATCGGATCTAAGTCCTCCATGTTGCCGTGAATATTTTACCCCACAGCCCCACCACAAGGAAGCAGCAGTGCAATCAATCCAGAGGTGTTCATTATCCAATCGATCCGGAGGTGTTTGCTATCCATTTCTAATGCACAGTTGTTACAAATTTTCTACATTCTCCATGTGTATCATGCACGCGTTGTGCGCAAGCTGTAGGTTGCTACAAATAATTCAATTCCATGTGATCAACAATCCACCATTCAGATGATGGGGATTCATGCAGGTATTGTATAATGAGTCTCAATATATACATCAGGAGTGCAAATATCAGAAATTCTGGCCATTGCCAACTCGTGATGAATCGTGATGATGACACTTCCTTGTACTTGCTCACCAATTGTTAGAAGTGACTAGTGCTTGTGGAAGTGTGTGCAGCGACTAGTGAATAGTGTTTAATTGTGAATTAGGCAACTGCAACACTGGTCTTTTCTGTTCAAGTACCTGGATGTACTTGCGGCCTCTGAGCGCGGTCAGCCTACGGTCCTGGAGGATAAAGACATTGTCGGCTTCTTGGGAGGCCTTGGCGCTGCCAAAGATGGAGGCAGTCTGCAGCTCCTCTGAGGCGTTCTCCTGAGAAGTTCACCAAAAAGACATATGCCCGTTCAAAGATCAACTTTAGTGCGAGGTGCTGTGGTCAATGTCAATGCTGCAGCCGAAGTCCATCACAAACCTGATCTGTCTACGGACACTTTAATCAAAAGGTTAGACCACTAATATAATTATTACCAATTCAAAATATAGTGACTGAGCAAAATGATCCCTTTAGATTATGGGGAGTTTCATTGGATATTTTTTTGTCAAACATTCCCTGGAAATCTCAGTATTTTATGGAAGTACCAAATCCTCTAGCCAAGTTCCTCATGCATTTAATTAGTTGTTGGGAATGATTTAATGGGGGAGAAAAAATCCAAAAGCCCCAACCTTTCTTGGATGGATGACGACAGTCACGTGACAGTTGTTGTTAGTGGCAAACTTGCGGAAGGCGGCAATGATGTGGTCGTACATGGCGAAGCGCTCCAACATAAACTGCTTGTCGGAATAGCCCACCATGAACTGCAAATTATCAACTATGACATGCTCAATGTCGTGCACATACACAGCGTGGGACATAGCCTGTATCAAACAAAACAAGATCTTTCGTAACGGAGATTACATGTGCCTTTCGCATAGCTTTGAGACATTTTGTTTATACATGTATTTACATAACTGGAACCACAGTGCATTCATCTGTGAATTAGGGACACCCTGAGCTTCTCATTTACACTGTTAGCATCTGCTCTGCCCATTTCTATTATTATTATTTTTTCCTTGAAGAAATCTGAAGAGCGGAGACAATAAGAAGCAGTTACAGTTTTAAAAGAGGGAGGAAAACTCCACAGGGATATTCTGGGTGAAACCCACTGAATCAGATAGGGACAGAAACCCAATCCATATGTGGACTGGGCCGGGAATCAGTCCCAGACGGCAAAGGTGGAAGACAAGAAACTCCCCCTTTGAATAAACTTTAAGGAAAAAGCCAGTGGAGAAATCTTTGTAAGAGTAAATTTACCAATTTATGATTGTCAAATGAAATAGGTTTTACGATTGTCAAATGAACACATAACTGTATAGAATCTGTAACCAACAAACTGGTGTCTAAAACTACAAGAACTGCAGCCAGCATGTCATTAATAAATTTGCAGCTGAAGACTAAAATCTGTCGTATGCAACCAGTTTCAACATAAGGCCACTTTAACAAAATCACAATCTTCCCCAATGTACGTCAATTCTCCTGAACTCCATTGGACATAAGCACCTGCTAGGCCAAATTCAAACCCCAGAGATCAATGATCCAAGCAGTTTCCTATCTGAAAAAAATTTTAAGACCACTGGCTTAAGGTCTTATGCTATCCATTAATTCTACACATCCGGATAATGCGACTTCCGCAACAAACAGGAACATGTCCATACTGGCCCGATCAACACTAAAGCAGCAGGGCTATCCAAGATTTGTGGTGCCGAGTCCCATCTCTCCTGCGGGGAAATCCCGGATTTCCTGTTGAAACTGTGCACGGTTGAACTCCGAGATTAACGATTAACAGAATGAAAAAAAAAAGTAAACTGGTTGGCAACTGGTAGGCACTGATACGGATGTTTACCAGAATATTGCCGCAGGTACTACAGCTGCTTACAGCTGCGAAGTGTTGGCACAATTTCAAAATTAAACACTTGGTGGGAAAATGACAAGGTGAATGTCAGGCAACTTGTTCTCCGCTAGAGTTTACTGAAATTTCTTTTTAAAGTCTTTTACACGTACCGATATTAGTTTTCAGTGGACAACACTACCATTGTAAAAGGATGTTGACAATTCCTACTGATTTCCATTTTGCAAGATTCTTTTAAAGGACTCAGTAACCCTGGTGATTTGTGATTCATATTCACAGAGCGGGTCACGTGTGACAAAGATCTGTTTATCCAATCAAAGTGATTTGCCTTGAGCCGCCAACCTCACAATGAGAGTTCATCTGAGTAGCCTTGATCTGAAAGCATTCCATCTCGGAACTGCAGGACAGTGATGAGACATTCCTCAAACGAATCTAAAGATAAAAAGTATAATTGTTCGAGCACAATCTCTCCTCACCACTTCCCTTTCCGAGTTTGTGTGTGGACGGAGGGGTCGGATGAAATGGGCCAAGCTGTGATCACTCCTTCACAATAGGGCAGCTGGGAAATTTCAGGCCTTTTTTCAAGTGTACCCCGAAGACAATTTTCCCATTTTTTTGTAACTCTTGCTGTGGTTTTTGTGCACTGCCCTACTTCAAACGTGATAATTTTCATGCGCATGCATATGAATGAACAGGCGTGCCACCATCTCGTTTCTGTGTGACGCCATCCTGCTTACTAGTACAGACATCTTAACCAATCGACCACCAAGCTTGCTGGTGTCGGCTAGCTGGCTTGAATCAGATATAGCAGTGGGTGCCGTGAACAACTATTTCAAAGACGGATTTGTGCCAGGGATAAAACTGATTTTGGATTTTTGGCCCTGCCCCACACGTCAGGCAGGGCAAAAAAAATCCCAAATTAATTCCATCCCCGGCGCAAATCCATTTTTCAAATTGTTGCTATCTTATTCAAACAGGTGACACTCACACTACCTGTATCAGGCAAGAAGAATACCCTGGTTGTTTTCAGATTCTTCTTTCAATAATTCTACACAGCATTTAGGCTAGGACTGAGTTTAATCTGTTTATTACACCTTGCGAATAAAAAAAATCCTAAGAGCAGGGGTGTGAGTGGCCACTTAAAATTAAAGCTGAAAACAGCTAGCAAAAAGGTGAAATGTAAAAAGTTCCTGTGCTTCTGTACAGACCGGGTGTACAAAAAGCTGAAATTCAGGGTGAACAACTTCACCAAAAAAAGCTGAAATCAGCTTAAAAGCTGATTTCTCACACCCCTGTAAAAGCTGACAGCGGGCAGAAGAGGCCCCCGGTTTCTCATACCTCAATAACGGCCTTTAGTGTCTGCTGGCCATGGAATGTCATGAAGTAGAGAGGCAACATCTCAAATTTGTCTGCCCACTTGTCAAACTTGTCCAGGTTCTTCTCTAAGTTGACTCTGTGACAAGCAAGAGGAACAGCTTACACAGGCGTGAACTCCTTGGACTTGACTTGCTAGTCACACAGAAAAAAGGGACATAAAGGCCCCCTAAAGTCTTTTGTCTCTGGTCAGCACGCACATCGATTTCAAGCATGCACGTCTATTTTTTTTCTCTCTGCGAGACCTGCAACAGCGCCCTCTATTGCCACACTGCCTCAACATTTTTTGTGGGCAGCTTGATCTTTTACTTAGGACAAAAGATTGCGAGGAGATCGATGTTGACCAATGACAGCAGACTATAGACATGAAGTTGTTTATTGTCAGTTTATAATCACAATAAAGCTGGTCTAGTCCCATGACTCTACAAAATGTGTCTGCAATTGTCTGTACAATCCAAACCCGGAGGAAAAAAATAAAAGCCCCATCGCCGCATCAATTTCGGAACATCAGTCTGACCAGAGACAAACCATTTTTTGGGCCAAAAATACTTAAGTCAACTGCTCTGAATGGTATATGAAAACGATATACCCAGCAAGAAATGAGACCGAGGGGTACCCCCCTAACATGTCCAATCCCTATACACATTCCAGACTATTGTTACTTAACACATCCTCCCAAGATGTCTGAAAGGAATTCCCCTGATTCCTGCGAGACAATGACCAACACAAAGCAGGGGGGGTTCTCTCCATCTCATACCTTGCTGCATATGGAAAACGAGTTTCCAAAAAGAATTCCTTGAGCATTATATTAGCAGAAGCTGTAGATAAATGCAGTCGTTTACAGAGCACCAAGAAAGGGTAGCTGTACAAGACAATAAATTGGGCCAGTTGATATTTGTCATGCTCATTTCACAGCCCCTTTTATTTTGAAGATTTAAAATATCCAACCAAAGAAAATGATGCAGTTCTAACTCTATTTCAAATTGGCAGATAATTTTGTATATTTTCTCACCTCACTTTGAAATATTGAAAGATGGAAATTACAGAAGTTTAGTTTCACTAAGAATGGGCTTGACTTACATGTTTCTTGAGACAAAAGAACTTTGCCGTCTGATTAATTGTGTTTGAAACTGATTCAAAAGTTTACAAACAAGTAAAAGCGTTTTTTTTTTACATATCCAATGGAATTAAAAGGGAAAATAACAAGAGAATCTCACCGACCTATGGTATAGCAGGGTCCTACCAATGGCATTTATGATTCTCACTTACTGTGCAAACTGTGTCAACATGACCTTGGCTAGACGAACATTCTGGATTTCAAAACTTCCCCAAAGTGTGTTGACCTGGGATGGGAAAGCAGAGAGTGAGAGAAAGAAGTTAAAAACACGGCACTGTTCCTGTGAACTTGTTGCTGGCTGTCACAGCAGATTTGTTCCTGTTCTAATGATCAGTATATTGCTGTTTACCCGAGTGCAGAATACTTTGAGGGTGATTTTAAAGATACAGAAAAGGCAATTTTTACGTTTTTTCCATCACACAAAGGGTGGAAATAAAACCAACGATAGATTTTGCAAAGTAGAAACCTTTCAACAGTTTTTGTGATTTTTGGCATGTTAAAAACAGGCCTTTCTGAATGGTATGCCAAGGTTTTATATTTAGTGCTTGGATAATTTACACAGAAAAAGTTGAGTATGAATTGGTACATACATGTACATTTAGATGTAGGCTCCTTGAAATAACTGCACAGATATAGACATACCCGTACGTCACTGCCTAGGTTGGTCACATTTTTACAAGATGAACATGTAAGGTGCTTTTTAGGAGCCACTTTTTGTACCCACACCGTTTTTGATAAAGCCTATAATCTGCTTACAGGTTGATCTTGCTTAATTTTTTTTTTAAAAGAGAGGGGAAACAAATAAACAACACCCCTCCCCATCCCTCTCACAAACTGTTTTCTCCCCTACCCCTTGTGTGCAGAGATCTAGGGAGTACTCAGCCATGAAGGTGGTTTTCCCTGACCCTGTGGGCCCCGTAAACACCGACAGTTCTCCACGCCGATGACCCTTCAGCAACTTGTTCATCAAAGGAAATCGCTTCCACTGTTAATACAAAAAAGCAAACTTTACTGCTAAATAGTTCATTGGTATGGAGCCCACACAAGTGAAAGAAACTGGAACTCAGATGATTGGGCAACAGCTGTGGGCCTAAGTTAAAGGCATTGCCGAGCAAGTGATATGATGTTCAGCAAATCTATCTGCCCAGGAGAAATCGGCCGGAAACTCGTCACGAGGAACGCACGTCACATTTCATTTTAGCTGGCGACCCACTTTTGCTAAGCAAATTTTTTCTTTTTTGCTTAGCACACGTCTGTGCTTGAAATCATGAAACTGAACTTTCTGGACCAGGCACGGTGATGCACTTAAGCCCGGACATGTGCTGCCCCTGGCAAAACAGCCCATTCCCAAAATCATTAGAAAGACTACCAATAAATGCAAAGGGGCATGGCCAGAAACCAGGCAATCACCAAGACACAACATAAAGAGCAAATCAAAGTTTGGTTCAGTGTGTTTTTAAATGGCAATAGTTTGTTTTTCACATTAGACCCATTTTGCTAAGGCAGGTCACATGAAAAAATAAATCTCAAAATTGACTACAAGTTTCAGAAGAAATTCCTCATTAAGGTGGAGCGAGTTGGAATTGAGACAGGCATGAAATCCCCTCACCTTCACCCCGGCCACTTGCTCTGAATGAGACAACTCCCCGAGCACCTCCTCCCGCAGCGACCGGAAGGACACAATGGACTTGTGACTGACGGGGTTGGCCTGCTTGAGGATGCTCCCCAGACTCAATCCCTGTTGTAGGGCCACCAGGGCTGGCGGGTGGCAATCCAGAGGCCTGAGTAACCGTGGATAAGCAATCCGTAATCAAGTGCCACCACTGCATTTCTTGCTATGACCAGAGGCTATGCACGTCAGTTTCAGCTGCATAAAGATTTCTTGGAATGGCACAAGCATTTCACTTGAAACTACCCAAAATAAAAGTTTGCAATGGTCTGTTGTCCTTTTGGTCACATATTTCAACAAGTATGGGTGAAAAACAATTTGGATTATCAATCAAGGTGAAAATGATGTGGCGTCCATGCTGATTCAAAAACTGGCTATTCTTGAACATTATCAACTTGAATGATATCTGAAAAGGAGGGAGGTATCTGACCAAGTCCGGAGAAAGCAGTGGGCTTGAATCCAACTCAAGTAATCTGGAGGATTTCTTTCCACAATTTCACAGACCCAAATGTGCACAGGGTGGTATACGGCGTAACTCTTGGGGAAGAGCAATTTGAAATATTCACATTGGCAAGTCTCATGTAAACTTTGATAGTGAGAAAAACAGAAACTAAGAGACTGCAGAAACCATTTTGAATATTTGGAAATATATAATTTGGAGGCTCAAATCTTGTTTTGTCCATACAACACATATGGGTCATTCCATAAACTCAGGGTATAACAGTGTGACATATTTGTGTTCCTGTTACACCTTAACTGTGTAAATTTGACATGGAAATATCACTGAAATTGATTTCAAAATATTTTTATTTGTTTTGTTGGTAATTGGCATCAATTCATCAATCTGTGTTCTGAACTCACAAAATCACATTTCAGATGTAAAAGGGACAAAAAAATTGGGCCCCTAATTTATAGAATGACCCATATGATGTAACTGTTGCTTGTAGAAACTTGTAAAACAGTATGTCATGCTCAATGGTTCCTCATTGACTGACATGCCACACCTGATGAAGTAGCAGCGTTTTGTGTTCAGCTTGCGAGCAAACTGCTTAGCGGCCTCCCAAGACCTCATGTCGTTGCCAAACCAGAGGGTGATCTTGTGGAACTGCTCCAACAGTGGGAGAAGCTTGGAAATCAAACAGAAGAATCATTCTCATGAATCTTAGGCAAAGACCACAGAACTGCATGAGGTACATGTATTTACACAATAGGCAAAGCCTTTGCTGCTTTATATATGGCAAAATAGTGTTACAATAAAACTGAGTTCGGACCAAGAATTGGACAAGAATTATGAACACAACAGTTCTTCTTTGTGTGAAACTTAGCCAAACTTTCAGGTTTGCAATGTACAGTTGGTAACCACTTCCATGGGCTCTTCTGGCCAATTAAGGCCTCACCCGAATCTTGTGTCCAAAGCTAGATCTGCCAGTTACAAACACAGGGACAATAGCTGTAGCTCTCATAAAGTCCATTTCCGACACAGCTTAACCGGGAACAAGTGAAAATTTGATACCTCTTGCTGCAAGGACGCACTGCCATTAGGAAGAGCGAGTACTGTCCCTCCAGTCATCTGATGGACAGCTAGAGCATCTAAGACACCGGCTACCAGGACCATCTCTCCATCCCGTGGGCCAATGAGGTGGTAACCAAACAAGCCGCTCTGGTCACGTCTGAATGGACCGAAACAAAATTGAAAACTTAAACATAGGAAAACATGATCCAAAACGTTACTTTCACTTCCTTTGAACAGGATGCAAAATTTCTGGAAACCTTAACGCCCTATTTTTACTGAATTCCAACCCCGTTTTTGAAAGCCTTTGATGAGGTTAGAACTGAACAGACCCTTCACTTTCACAAAACACAGGGTACCGATGTAAAAGTAAAAGTACAGTTAAAGTGCTCAGTAAAATAAAATTTTGTTTGACAGAAGGCAAATAATTGAGAGAAATCGGGTATCTCCTGGCATCAACCGGCAGAAATCCAGCTTGCAGGAAAGTTGATCTACTCCCACTGACCTTGGGTACAGCATCTCGGCGACTTCAAATCCCTCCTTGACCTTCTTGACCTCTAGCACTTTGACCCCTTGCAGCTGTTTGTTGTGACCGTATAAGGGCAGAACGAATGCCCGCTGTTTCTTGCAATACTTTATATTGAATTGCTCCAGAGTGTCCCTTGGGATTTGCTATGCAAGAAAATCAAAAGGATCTGATTCAAATCTGTACCACTATGAGACAATCGTATGCCAATCTGACATTGTTCTGGATTATGAAACTTTCTGAAAACCAACAGTGTTATTGGTCAGAGATTATTAAATCCCTCTAGGAGCAATCATGCACTAATTAATCACTAGGTTAAACATTTTGATACACTCTGCCGGGGGTTGTATTTATGACACACCGTACATGGTAACAACTTCCCTGGCTTGCAAGAATGTCCAGGTCACAGGATCTACTTCTCACCTCTATGCCCATGGTGGCCCGCAGCCGGTCAATTGTGGCTCCCTTGCACAAGCTCAGCTCCATGGCTCCTTCCCACACCTCCTGGACCCTGGCCAGGCCCAACCTGTGACCCCTCACGTCCCCCTCATCAGCAGTGGCAGTGGGATTCGGGAAGGAGGATGGGTCCGGGCAGCCTCGTTGCTGGGCCACGGCCATGCTGTCCTGGAGGCTCTGCCAACTGCCACTGACCCGGGTGCACTGGCAGACACAGTGGCCTGGTCAAACAAAACAATTCCAGCCAAATAATCCAGTTAACCTGGAAATCTGTTCTGTCAATGAGCATTCAGGTTTTTCACTCACATTCAGTGGGTATGGGGGTTCGTGCCCAGCTGTTGGCCACAGGCTGTTGCCTTGAATCAGCCACTTCAACCCACACGTACATTGTACTGGTATTACCTCTCTCCAGCCTTGTTTTGTGTGTTGAAAATGCATCGACCCATGCACTCCAGTATGATCATTGTTTTTTTCCCACACAAAATTACAACTATGGACTTAGGCCATGTCCAAAATAGACAGTAGTGGCTTGGGATTACATTATGACTCTTTGGGCAGTGGCTGCTGCCACAATCACAGACACATGTGTGATTCCAACCTCAAGCAAAGTAAGTCAGGCACAGCCTTATACACCAAAGCATGTTCTTCAATATATTACAAAGAATGTGAACAAGGAAGCTACGAAGGGGGTTAGTATTTTCATGATCTGTTTGGTCAACGTACCAGTTGTCATGTTGATGTACATTGTTTGAGCATCTCTGCGATGTGAATCTGCACTTGCGGCACGGCAGAACGGGCAGGCCGCCATCAAGCAGGTATAGCCCGTCTGGAAATCAATTTCCGCATTCTTCAGGTGCCGCTTCATATCGGTCAATGTGGGCACCTGTACCTCCTCCACCGAGTTGAACGTCGTGCGCGTTGGTGCCGACGTGCTAGAAGTGCTGAGTGTTCTGTCGGGGATGCAGCCCTGTCTCGGTGGAGATGTCCATGGCTTGGGGCTTGCAAGTCTTTGGGTATTTGATGGACTGAGGATGCTCCCAGCGCAGTAGTCGTGCAGCATGGATGACGACTTGCCTACACGTATCGCACGACCTGACAAAACCGTTGAAGTCCTACCAGGAGCAATGGGCAGTACTGTTTTGGAGTGGACCAACTTTGAGAAGTTCTTTGCTTTTGTGTATTTCAGTCTCGCAGAGTATCTTCGCCATCCCAACAGGAGAGATTTTTTACTACAGACAAAAGCATTGTACGTTTTGCAGACTGCTGTGCCTTTCATGGTGCATGGATGCATATTGTTGTGGCGTTGGTTCCCACTGATGGCGGCAGTCATGGCAACCACAGCCCCTACCCAATCAGTGAAACTTTTCAAGCACGATTGGGGCTGCAGGCTTAGTGAAGATTTCACCCTTGAAAGTTGTTGCATCTTGGCACTACACATTCACCTGGATAAGAAAACAAAATTATCTGGACATTTATGGTGCTGTGGGGTTGGGGTACGTATGTTCCTAAGCAGGATAGTTTGTCAAAATCAATTCCTTAACCCATAAGTACCGTGAATGGTCAGATGCGTAGTTAGTGTAACTATAAGGATTTGTACACGTATGCAGTTTATGAAGTGACTAGTTTGATCATTTGCCATTGAAATGGTAGCATCAAGCAGCAGAGCCTCAGAGAAGGCAAGATTTGTGGGAAATATTTATCAGTCTGACACGTAGAAGTACATGTGAATGAACAACGTTATAATCGTTTTTGGTAATAGCACTAAGGATTCCTCAAAAGGGCCCTAGGCACAGTAGCTCGCAAGCTAAAGGTAGAGGAAAACCCCAGGACAATCTGGGTAAAAGCCCACAGAATCAGGTAAGGGGCTAAAAACCTAACCCACGTGTGGACCATGCCAGGCTTCGAACACGGACCACAAAGTTGGAAGGAGAGGAAAGAACCACCGCGTCAACCTGCCTAAATGCATTTAGCAAACTTCTTTGAACACCAATTTGTGCACTGGTAGATATGCGTACTTTATTAATACACAGCACAGTGGGCCAATGAAATAAACCCATTTTTCTATGCTGTCTGTCTCCTTTTCTTGAACGGAGTTGGGGTTAACTTGCATGATAGGCCTTTGGTAAATTGATTTTCATAAATTTCTAGGCCTAGCACACAAATATGACCAACATATTGGTACCCCTACCCCCACTCCGTTCAAGAAAAGGAGACAGACAGCATTAATAAAGTACACATATCTACCAATGCACAAATTGGTGTTCAAGGAAGTTTGCAATTATTAACCCTGACCACCCAAGGGTTGCTGGACCTAACCTTCCCCAATCACAAAAACTTCATCACCTTGGGAAAACACTCTTACCTCACAGTACCCAATCCCACAGACTTCAACAGTACCTCCTGCTGCAACAGTACCCAATCACACAAACTCCAACAGGTCTTTACCTGTGTAATTTTGTTTGACTGGGTACAGCAGGCCCACTGCAAAGTACAAAGAGTATAGACAGGCAGTACCTATTCAAAGAAACCCACACGCCATCATGCTACATGTACATATCCATCCCCGGCTGCTGGAATTATTGCGGTCAGAAACGATGAAGATTGTCCTTGTTATGGTATTTCTTCTTCTTCAGCATGTAGCAACAGATTCACTGAATCCATGTAAAGCAACCGGAGAAGATGGATTGACACATACATGTAATTACCGGTACATCATACTTAAAATTTCAATGGGAAGCTTTCTATCATTGCATAATCTTTAAAAATACAGTACTCATTTGAAATTCTTGATGGTAAAAAGTGATGGTAAAAAGTGAGAGGGCCAGTACCAATTCAATCAAAATTCAACAGGGTATTACTTCCATGATTTTGTACAAAATCAATTGGGCCCTCGGCCTAGCCACATCACCGGTACTTCCTTATCAATATGATTGAGGCTGGTGTTACCAGAACAAAATAAGCAAAAAGTGATAAAATCGACAAGGGGCGGACCGGACGCCGTTTTGACAGGGACGGGGTTTACTTGGTTACTATAGGCCCGTCACCATGTTGATTTTAGCACCCCCGGGCAAGTAAGTGAACAAAGCTAGACGGGAATGTCTACAACAATAACAATCGCGAGCAGCAGCTCGTAAAAAACTACACAGTGTTCTTGTCATGAATTTGTTCCCCTCTATTAAATGTTTTGAGCATGGTCACATGAAACGTGAAAAAGGCTTGTAGGCCTACTGGCTGAGCCTGATTGCAACTGCTGACATAAGCACACAGCCATGATAGCATGAGCATGATGAGTTGTTCTGTACAAGGTAAATGTAGAAAGGCATTGTGCCTTGTGGGATGGAAAACAAGGCACTGTTTGCTCCATTTTCCTTCCCGCAATACCTTTCTACCATTGCACAAAATCATCCATGCAGTATTTGAGGTAAAGCTTACGCCTATGCTATGGCTGAGTTGTGACTTAAACATGTTCCTATTTTTGATGTTTAAGGCCTAAAGTTGTCAACAGAATCAAAATATTCTTAACAATCACTCACAAGCCACATAAAGTCCAAAACGACATCTGAAGTACATTTGAGTGTCGGCCTCAAAGTCTGTACAAGTACATGTATCATGTTATTCACATCGTTTCCTCGAATATCTCCCCAATTTGTTCTTGAATGTATCTCATTCAGAAATAGCGCGACAATCGAACAACCTCCGTCACTGACCTCATCTAGCTGTCGACGTCCCGTTCCGCGCATTTTGTCACATGGCCGCAACACAGAGCTGAATGTTATTGTGCACAGCGCCACCAAGCAAGTAGCGAATTTTTTGAAGGCCGCCCTCAACATAGAATCGTTGACTAGTGCTGAGTGCCGTGAAGTGGGATATGTCGTTTGAAAACCCAACAGACGCATGTGTCTCTTTTTATCATATTTTTCACTTGTTTTCCAAAGGGAAATTCAAGGCTACAAAGAAATCGTTCAGTTAGCGGCCCTGCATTATATTGTACACGTATGTGCGGGGGCGCATGTTTGCGCGTGCCTGATATCACAACATTGGCTGATGTAATGACTATAGGGTGAATGTAAAATGCAGATGCAGTCACGCCTACTGTGACGGATTCCATGGGTTTTGCACAACATGAACTCCTATCCTACACAGAAGGTAACAATCGTTAATGTCACGCCTTCACGTTATTGTCCCGAGCCAATGAACAAAAAGAATTCAAGACAGAGGTGTGACAAAGAGGAAATATGTTGTCCGTCGTGCCCTTTGCGAAAGTATTGAGATAGCACGTAATGAAGTTCATTTTGATGGGGGGGGTTAAATACTTAGACAAAAAACAGAGAGCAAGTCGTGAATTCGGTCTTGAATATTGGCGTCAATATTTGCGACCAAAGACAGGGTCGTAAATTTGATTGCAAATACTGACGTCAATGGCGATGTCCCTCCTGGGCCACTATAATTTTGAGTTAAGTTATTTGCTGTAGTAATCCACGCATATACTTTTCGTGCGCACTGCATCATTGACCCGTGTCACCCACTAAAAACTAGTCTGTCCAGTGCGGTGTTTGTTTGGTTTTTTTTTTTTGAGGGACATAGTAGGAAAAAAAATGTATATGAAGTGTCGGCGAACGCACTTTGTTGAACAAAGTTTGCTGAGGGAACAACCATTTTTATTGAAGAAACAACAAATTTTGTTGAAAGAACAACCGTTTGTGTTGAGGGAACAACTTGTTACACCATGGTCAAAGATTTCACTGGAACGATCTTATGCAAGATAAATTAAAAACACTTTGGCAAATTGAAACACGTGAACAATGAATTAGATATTAATTTCAAGGGAAATTATTGATTGTGATGTTCTTTGTTTACCTCTGGGGGGGTGTAGGATTTATAACAAACAGAGAAACCTGGGATTCATAAAGCACTGGGGGGTTCGTCGATCAGAATTTCAAGAATTTATTTACACCAAATACTGTTGAAAAGTCCTGACAAGTCCTGACAAGAGCAGACGAAAAGAGAAAGTGGCATGAGCGCCATGTTCAGAGTGAAGAGAGTGGCGCATACGAACAGCAACAGTGCTTTAATGTCCTCCACAGAGAGCACATCTCCTATTAATAATTGGTGCGTTCTCGTACCATCGCAGCTATCCACCCTCGTACCCAAAATTACACCCGAATTACAACGCAGAAGACAAGACACATCAACTGGGAGAACGATCACAGTTGCCCATCATTTTATCGTTAGTGGGCGCGACGCGTGGATGAAACAAGCGCGCTTGTGGCACATCACGTGATCAGTTCGCGACCAATAAAAATTGACTACGACCGTGGTATAACAACAGGTTTTGTCGAGGAAACAATGGTTTTTGTTGAGGGAACAAAAAAGTTTGTTGGGAGAACAACAAATTTTGATGAGGGAACAACCATACTTTTAAGGGAACGACAAATTTTGTTAGGGAACCAAAAAAATATTTTGCTCTATGAAAATGTACGCTGAAATAACACTACTGCGGACAACACAAAGAGACTAGGGGTTTATTCCACTAATTCAAGCCTCATTGAAAATAGTTCAAAATTGGTACTGTTCTTGGCCCAATAACATGCACACCAACATCCCTGAGGTTTCTGAAACACAAAGTAAATTATTGTCTGGTCCCTAATCTTTCAATTTTGACCGATGATATCTTTATTTATTCCCACAAAACAAAATCACTCCCCAGGAAGTAATTTTTCCAAAGCCTGATTGTAGCCCTTGTTCAAGTGGTGATCCTTCACTTTCTCAGCCACAAAGGCCATATTTTTCAACCGTATTTTTTTATCCATTCTGCTCTCCGATGCAAGCCCAAAGAGAACAGGGAGTCGTTCCTGGCAAAGATTTACACAGTCTCACCATTTTTCGCGGGGGGGGGGGAACAATGCCTTTTACCACAAGAAACTATAGGGGCACTGGCCAGAAATTGGATTCATTTATCATCAGACTTATCGCGTAACACCCACTGCCGTATTTCATGGATACAATATACAGCAGTCACAGCCTGTCCAAAGTACCAAAAATACAGTCAGGTATCGTTTTATAACGATGAACATCACTAGGAAAGTGGCGGTTAGCCATATCAAACAGTATAGATGAGTACAAAGGAAAGAACAATGGACCCATCAAACAAGATCCCTGTGAGACCCCGCAATTTAGATGGTGATTTATCGGACATCGAGTAATACTTTACATGCCTGGACATGCGCTGGTGGCTTCTGGATAAATATTAACAAAGCCAATCCAAAGGTGTACACGATACGTCAAATTTAAATAGGAGTCTAACACATACAGGACGTTATCTAGTCAACTCTATCAAACGCAGCACTCAGATCAAGTAATACCAACAAGGTAACATGTTAAGAATTCACATCCATTAAGATTATGTGAACCTTTGACAAAGCTGTTTCTGTACTGCAATGTTTCCAGTGAGCCGTTTGTAAGAATTAGTACAGTGAGATTATAATTAAGATGTGGTTATGAATTTGCTCAAAACCTACCCTTTCAGTCATCTTTTAGATACATACATGTATTTCAATTTGGTCCCTTTGTAGAGAAAATGGTTTTCAATATTGTGCAATCGCCATTTTGCACACGAAACCGTTGGCATTGGAACACCAAGAAGAATACCACAGACCTCCCCAGACAGCCACACAACGGCCTCCACCTGCTGCGTAGCCTCCGTCAGCCCAGTTCTCGTACCCGATCTCAGTGGTCCCATCCACCCAGCTGAACCGTGTGGTGACGAATTGGTATCCAATCCAGAAACCGGGATTCCCGGCGGCAGTCGCGTACAATCGTAAGAACTGGTTTTCTTCCCCGCTGGTTACCCACGCAAGGTGAACCTCTCCCCCACCAGGCTGGACAAACCGCTGACAGCTGCGTTCGGCATCGTAGAAATTGTAGTAACTCGACCCCAGTGCAATACTCAAGTAGCAATGATTTCCCCACACAAGCCAGGGAGGTTGACAGCGTCGAGCTTCATTCCGCAGCTTAGCAATGGTGATGTTGCACTTGCCCTCCACGCTAATCTGGAACCCGGCCTGAATCACAAGAGCAAGAATTACGCGCACTGCGATTTGGGTCGCCATAAGTGATGCATATTGTTCCGTCGGCATAAATAGTGCAATTTCCGGCTGTTACAGGTACACGCGGACGTTTCACATCAGCCTAGTTTATGCCCGGCACGGAGAAATTATCAGCCTGTCTCGCGAATGATTGCAGAATGCGACACGGTGCGTAGTTGAACTCTATTTGTTTCGCTTGAAATGAATGTGACTAAAATAACCTTTCTACGCCGATTCCTGCAGTAAAGCTGTTCACCATTCAACAAAAGACATTACTTTTGCTCCCGACGAGAAGGCTACGTTGAGTAGCGAAAAAAAAATCTATGAAGTGGAGACTGACACAATTCATCTCTCGTTAATACTGATCAGCCAAGTTATCCGTTTTTATATATCGTCATTCTATCACTCTAGCTTCAAGGCAACAGTCGTTTAGGTGCTGAGGTAGTCTCCTCCACTTTGGACCAAGCATAAGAGTGTCATCAACAGTGGTTCTGTGATGAAATCCTTGCCCTACATACAGAATCAATAGCCTCCAGTCAATCCTAACTGATACAGCAAGTGCCATGGTAACGCGCCCTGGTACATGATTTTCACTACCGTCAGTCCTTGCAGTTACGGCAATCGAACAATTTCTTTTCGGGCATAAAGAAACCGCCACGTTAGCAATTCTCATTCAGAGTTCCTAACCGTCGGCGAAGAGGAAACGAATTATCTATAGCCCATTGATCACTTTCATGTTCACTACTTCAAGTTTGTGTAAGTGCACCTATGTAAGACGATGAATTGCTGATTCGAGGCACGAATTGTCTGCAAGAGTTTGAAACAAATTTTCCGGGAGCCAAAAGGGGTTTCACACGAAGAAGGAAAGCATGGGGTCTATATAGGCCACATTGCGTGTCAACAGGAGACTTTTTGGAGACGCATGGGGGCGGCATGCAAATATAACGGCCCCCCAGCAGCTCATAACGGTTAAGCTGGAGTTGCTCGCCACAGAGCCTGAAAGTTGACCCATGACTGCGTGCTTCCGGAACCCTTCGATGGAAAAAACTTTGCCAAAATGTAGAATTTGTAAAATTTTTCGTTCAGTTATATAAAAAATCAAACTCTGAAAAAGGCCTTTTGAAACAATCTGCTAACATATCAATTTATAGAAACTGAAATACCTGACCCAAAAAGAGAAATATCCTGCCAAAATAGGCCCGTCACTTCCTAAAATAATACATGAAGAGCATTGCAATCGGGCGGTCTCGTACGCAGATGAACATTTACGGAATTAAACGTTATGGTAGTGTGTCGGTAAAAGTCAAAATAAAAACAGATCAAAATATTTTGCGCTTTTTTAAATTTACAAGGAAAGAAACGTAAAGCCATTACATAGTTTTACGAAAGGTTGTAATACTTAGCTAACCTTTGCTGATAAGAACTGCGTCATGTCAACTCAATGGAATCCCGAACCCATCAACTGCTAATAGGTAAATCTTTGCAACGTTGTCGTTTTAGCACAGGCATTGAAAACAAATATACATGAACAAGGAGACCTGGGAATGATATTGCCAGAAATGAAGATCGTTCCTAAAATTCGTTCTTACTGATCTCAAGGTGACTTTTCCCAAATGTTAGTTGATGAAGACAAAGGTAAAATTCCAACATGAATGTT